AATCCAGGTGGCATGCTCTCTTACATAATTTTGACACATTCTCTGGAATATTGCTAAATCTTGGATGAATTTTGGCAAATCTTCATTTGTTGGATATGATCAAAATACATGGTATGAAGTTCTCAAAGAAGTAATAAAATATTAATTTAAAAAATACTCAGAGCTAAATACCCAGTGACAAAAATTGACAGTAAACATCATCTCAGGACTAAATATAGTTCACCATGAAGTATTTTTTCTCATTACTAGTTAGTACCTAGTATAATTTCTAGTATGTAGTTGGCGCTCAGCAAATATGCAGAAATGTGAAAATTCTTTCAATTTTACTTACTCAGTTTTTCCCCTACATAATTCGACTCTTGCTAAAGCCTTTCACTATCTGGTGTGGTGTGTGAGGGGAGGGGGAAGGGAATTCAGTTAAGCAATTTGCAATTATACAAGTAGTTATTTCAAGCATGTGCTCACGAAGAATTTCACACTGGCTGTACTTAACTGTTCACAAACATTACACCTTAACATTGCTTAAGAAAGTATTTCATAAAGTTTTAAATGTAGTTAAATTGATGAACCTAAGTTCTGTCTGCCTTTTTTCCTGTACTTTGGCTCTTCAATCCTTAAGAATGAACTAGAAGGACTTGGGAAGTTATATAGTGCCCTCTTCCAGACACAGCATGGTCCCCTACCCTTAAGGATACCACTGTTATTCAGACATCTGTGTAGAAGCTTCTTCTTTTTTTTTATATTGTTTTATTTCCCAACTACAATAAACATTACATCCCTAAACATTTAGCCATTTTTAAAAAGACTTCTTAAAAAAGTATTTGGTTTCTCAAACATGGCTGCTTTCCTGTCCTATTTTTAAGTTATCTGTTGGAAAGAACCAGGTTATTTATCCTGTAGAGTCTTTCCCATAGTCTATATTTTGCTGATTATTTTCATGGTATGCAGCATGTTATTTCTTCTTTGTCTGATTTTTTATAAACTGAGAATTAGACTTGATCAGTCCCAGCACTCTCCCCCTCCCCCACCAGATTGCTCCAGAGGACGTGGTGGGTAGTTGACTGCTCTTCCACTGTGGGCACCTGAGTCTGTTTCTGAAGTGATAGCAGTGACTGATGCAGAATGTCTCAACCCAGGACTCATTAGCTGAAGTAGCATTGTATTATATGTATAATTTCCTTTTTACTGACATGCTGAGATTCTATAAAGATAAAAATTTCTTCCATTATTTATCCAGTGGCATAGTTAGAATCGAGATACATGTTTGATATTTTCCTTCATCTGTCTATCAGCTATTTATCTATTTATCTATCTATCTATCTATCTATCTATCTATCTATCATCTATAATCTATCAATCATCTATTTATCACCTATATCTATCTATCATCTGTCAATCATCTATTTATTTATCTATCATCTATCTATCATCTTATCTATTATCTATCTATCTATCTATCTATCTATCTATCATCTATCTATATATATCTATCATCTATAATCTATCAATCATCTATTTATCACCTATATCTATCTATCATCTGTCAATCATCTATTTATTTATCTATCATCTATCTATCATCTGTATCATCTATCATCTATCTATCTATCTATCTATCTATCATCCATCATCAATCCACCTATCTATCCATCTATCATCATCTGTCTGTTCATTTGTTTAATGTAAGTGTTTACCTGCATGTATGTATGTGCATTAAATATATGTCTAGTTCCTGCTAAAGACAGAAGAGGATGTCAGATCCCCTGGAACTGGAGTTACAGATGGTTGTGAGCTGCCATGTAGGTGTCAGGAACCAAACCTGGGTTCTCAGCAAGAGTAGCTGATGCTTTTAACCACTGAGCCATTTTCCAGGGCCCCTACCCCAGACAAAACAAAACAGACAAAATTAAAAAAAAACAAAATAAAAAACCAAAAAAGATTATAATTCAGAATTAAAGATAATACTCTATTCTTTACAAGTGTGTATATATGTGAGTCTCTCTCTCTCTCTCTCTCTCTCTCTCTCTCTCTCCCTCTCTCTCTGTGTATGTTCATGTGTAATACAGAAGTTAATGTTTGTGGGCCTGAAATTTAAGCTGAAGAAAGAAAAGGAGAGGTTCTGACTCTTCTTGTTTGACTGGATCCCAGCTGAAATCTGGGAGACCTCCTGATAAGTAGGTAAGTACCACATGCTAACCACTTTGTCTACTGGAACTCCCACTACTGATAAATAAAGTTTGCAGTCTGAGGTCTTAGCATATCAGCTACAGACTCTGGGATGAGCAAACTTGGCCAAGAATCCTATCCGTCTCATTTTTGTAGCCAAACTTTTGGGCAGGAAGTTTTCCTTTACCTTCTTAGGTTCACAAAGTTGTCAAAAAAAAAAAAAAAAAAAAGATAGATTTAATCATAATTATAGTAATTTGTTGAAAAATGTGACAGGAAGCACTTAGGATTAGAGTCATGTATAATATTTTTTAAAAATAGAAACATTGATTGATACAATAATTTCACAGTTTTTCAGGTACAGTGAGGAACTTCAGTACATGCATACTGTCAATGTAACAAAACAACCTTGCTTTAAAAGAAATAACTTTGTTCTGAGACCAAATACAAGTGACCATGGTGCCCCAGAACACAGATTCAAGTTACCTTGAATGAACTATTTCATTGCGGAAGTTCTGTGAAACTGTGTAGTCACAGAATAAGAGAAAGTCGTGATTCAGTATGTTCACTGCGCACATTGGTGGGGCTGTTGGGTAGTGGCTGTAGCAATGACCATTGGTGTTACTGCATGTTACTGCATTCTTAGCTTTCAGATTGATGGAAACCAGCGGTCCATCAAGATGCTGTAGTAGTCACGAGGATGTCAGGTCAGATACAGCAGTCAACAACACTTGAAAGGGAATAAAGGTAGTCCAGAATAACTGTGGCTTTTGATTTGCAATAGTCCATCTGTGCAAATGGATAGTTGATGGTCTGGTCAGTCTAGAGGCTCTTCAATATAGAGATGGCTTCTTAAGAGAGCTTTATTCATAGTACAGTGTAATTGATTGTGGTAATTGGCAAATCTGTCATCTTACACATTTATCATTTCTCTGTTTGGAATCATTCAAACTATGTTAACTATTTTTTGTTTGTTGATTTGTTTGAGACAGGATCTCCCCGTAGCCACAACTGACTTGGAAAGCACTACATAGACCAGGTTGGCCTTGATCTCACAGAGATCCACTTGCCTCTGCCTCTGGAGTGCTGAGATTAAAGCCACCATGCCTGGCTCTGGCTCTGCTAGCTATTTTGAAGTGTGTAATTATTGTATCAACTGTGGTTTTTGTCGGGAGCCACAGAACTTTAGAAACTTTTCCTCCCATCCATTTGCACCTTGTCCTTGTTAACTATCCTTTCCCCTGCCCTGGTACCACTATTGTACTCTGTACATTTATAAGATCAGCTGTTATTTTAGCCTATATAAACTGTGTCATTTTAAATTTACATTTAAATTCCTCTGCCTGACATTGTACTTAACATAATTTCCTCCACATTCATGTGCATAGCATCTTAATAGGGGAAGGAGAAGGAGCGAAAGATCATTTATGGAAAACAAAAAATGACCTTTTGTAAAGGCACATCATCTGTAGGAGAAAAATAGGAGACATGAGAGTTCTGTGGCCATGTAGACTCAGGCACGGTGTGAATAATTCTCTAGTGATTAGAGGTGATTTTTCTTGATTGCTATGAGGGGACTTGCTACAATTCTTTCTGTGTTTTGGAAAGCGTCAGTGCTAAAAGTCAGCTAAAAGATTTCAGAACTCATATCCTTTGCTCAAAAGAATGTTTATTTCATTTGTATTCTTCAAAAAGTGTTTGTTAAAAATGTTTGTGCATATGCATACATAAAGATGTATACATATTCCTAGTTTTCTTTAATTATATAACATTTGTTGTTGTGAGAGATATCTAAGAGAAACAACTTACAGAAAGACAATTCTGCCTAGTGATCTGAGAGGTTTCATTTCATGGTTTGCTGTGTCCATTGTTTATGGCTCATGGTCAGGCAGAGCATCATGGTGGAAGGGTGTGGTAGAGCGAAGTCGTTCACTTCTTAGCAGCCAGGAAATAGAAAGAAATAGAAACAGACCAAGGACAAACTTTATGTTCTCAGAGCTCCACTCCAGTGACCTGCTTCCTGGACTAGGCTCTGCCTCCTGACATTTCCATCAAGTCCAAAAATGTTGTGAAGCTATGAATCCATCAGTGAGCGGTTCATTGATTAGGTCTCATTTCTCATGATCTAATCACTTATGATACCAGCTGGGGACCACGCCTACAGCACATGAGGCTTTCGGAGTCATTTCATAGCCAAATCAAAAACACCCAAATTCATAGTCACATTTTAAATTTAGTGAATGTTCAAAGTTGTAGGAAGCTTATGTCAGCCTCCGTCTTAAGTTTTTATCCAGCCTCTCCACATTTTTAAGAAGACAGAGTCTCCATTCCTGCAGTAACTGTCAAGAGGCTGCTTACTGAGCAGAGCTAGATCTGCCACCCCATGCCCACCTCACCAGTGTATGCTTAGACTTGTGTCTTTCCTACAGTGTCAGAGCATATGGAATCTATTTTTCAGTATCTCCCCTCTGTCCCATCCAGGATTGAGATTTAAAGGAGATAAATGATAGTCTTAGGCTTTTCTGATTCTATTACTGTTGTATGAAAACTTTATATTACTGTTGTATGAAACTTCAGCTATGCCTATGGAGGAGAATAAGGATAGGAACCAGATCTGTATTACAGAAGAATAATTCTTCAAACAAATGAATGGAACATTAAGAAACCATCAGTAGAGCATTGTTGAAAATTTAGGTGGTTTATGTATGTATGTATGTATGTATATAAGAATACATATATATTTCATAAAAAGTATTTATGTATAAGAGGATATATATTAAATTTCCCCATAAATGGAACTTCCATGACTTTTTTTTTTCTTTTGTGATTAATAGAACATTCCAGTGTACCAGTAGAAAAAAATATCACTTTGGAAAGGCCTTCTGTCATGGAACTCCAGTGCCAATTCACAACCTCTGGAGACTTGAATTTAGTCAATGTGACTTGGAAAAAAGGTGATGAGCTACTTGAAAATAATTATCCTGTCAATATAACAGGAAACACCTTTTACACCCAGTACATGTGAGTATGCACGAGTTGACACTGTTCACCACAATCACTTAACTATGAATATTCTTACTGATTAAGCCTTCTTTTGCTTTGTTGTCACTTGAACGTTATGCTAATATTGTGATTTGCATGTTTATAGAATGTTTTCTATTTTTAACTTTTGATTAATGGCTGTCTTCATTTTCATTAAATGTTTCAGAGAACTAAGCTTATATTAATAACTTTAATTGTTTCTAGGTTCACCATCATTAATAGCAAACAAATGGGAAGTTATTCTTGTTTCTTTGGTGAAGAAAAGGAACTAAGGGGAACATTTAATATCAAAGGTCAGTATTAAAAACTTCAGCATTGTGTCCTTAGATTTCTAAATCCTTCAGGTTTGAAGTTATTACTGTAATAATACATGTAATGCAGCTGAAAGAAAACCCTCTGCTTTCCATAGAGTCCCAGAGGCCACCTTGAACAGGGTCTTGCCTTCCCCAGCCCGTGCCCTTCCTGTTTCATCTTTCAATTTAAAACACAATTTTTAGTCCAAAAGCGAGCTGCCAAGGTTTTCACGGATCAAATCACTCTCAAATTTATGTATTAGTTTAGCCCTTTAAACTTAGAGCTCTGAGAATACTACTCTGGATTCTGAATTGCTGCATTCCCAGACTATGAGATTACGGTTTGGTACTGTGTCAGTGGCTCCAGGATCTGGAGTTCATAAAATCCTCATATAACATGGTGGTACAGTGTTGCGCATGTTTAGTGTCACCAAATATGTGCACATAGGTACACATCTGTTAGTGACGGAGATGCCACTGGAGAACTGTGTCGCTGGATGATGTCATCACGTGTGTTCGTCACAAGCTCGGACAGTGTAACTCACCACACAGCAAGGCCATATGGCAGAGTCTTAGGCTAGAAGGATACTCAGGAAGTTACTGTGCTGAATACCATAAGCCAGTGTAACACAAAGGCATTTGTTTATCTAAACATATAAAATATTGCATAAAAAATGAAAATGGTCTGCCTGAGAGGGGTGCTTTCTGTGACTAGAGTTTGCTGCTCTGGAAGTCAGTCTAGGTGACTCGATGGGTGGGGCTGCCTTGACAGTAAAACGTGATTACTTTGTGTTACTCCAGTCTTTCAAAACACTGTACACTTAGGTGACAGTAAATTTAAGAAGATAATCTTTTTAATTTTATAATTTATTATACTTAGTCTACTGTAGCTTTTTATTTTGTAAATTTAAAATCTTTAACTTGTTGACTTGTATAATGGCAACCTAAACAAATTTCTATAGCTATTCAAACATTTATCGCTTTCTTATTAAGCTTTTTTCTTTGTATTGCATAATTTTTTGTTGTTGTTAAACATCTTCATGTTAAGCTCATCAGTACGGATGCCTTCCATCTGCACCTCTCAGTGTGCTGGAGGGTCTTCAGGGCCAGAAACACACAGTACTGTTGGCTCCTGAGAACAGCAGTCTCTTGTGGAATACCTCCTGAAGGACCTGCCTCAGGCTCCTTTGAGAAACATGCCCATGGTGCCTTGCTCCAATTTGTTTTTTGTGTTTGTTTTGCCAGCATAGATCCACCACGAACATTCCAGTCTCTAAATGAAGTCCTCCCTGTGTCAGTTTCTAAATGCTTTAGGGCGCTTATTGAAGCTTGTGAAGTTCCTTCACTGTAGGTTTTCACGGAGCTTCTGCAGTTCCTTTTTCTCTTGTATCGTCTCCAGTTACCCATCAGCAGGCGGTGGCAGTTACAGCTTCTTTCGTTATGTGCTGTTGGTTCATCAGTGACTGAAAATCCGTTATGTGGCACATTACTGTATAGAAATCCACACTATGACATCTGGGTCTCCCAAACAGAAACAAATTAGAGTATTTTACCATTGTTAACCAAAACATTAGAAAGTCTCAATCTCATAATAAAGACTAATTGAGTTGGATTACTGTCTTCATGAAATTTCCAGCATTCTGTGGTAGATTAGTGAACATGGATCACAGTTCCCGCTGGCATTAGGAAATGAAGTCTGTTGCCGTAGCAATTGCTTTAGACTTCATGTTACATTAATTTTCCAGGGAACTTGAAAATTGTTGTTTGGCCTAACAATTCTGAAGTCTGACTAGCTGCTCTGACAAGAGGTGGAAGACCTTATATGGAGCAGAACGGCTGCTTCCTCACCGCCTGTTTTTATTAGTCCACTCTCATGTCCCTAACCATGCTCCCTCTGCACTCAAGATTTCTTTTATGTGGTTTCATAATTATTACAGCTTGCAATGTTAATAGATCCCTGTATTTATCCCCTGTGGCCCATTCTAGCTACAGAAATTGCCAGCATACTTTGAGTATGTTATGGTGTTCTTTCTTTGGCTTCATTCTTCCCTTGCCCAGTGCAGCTTAGTGAAGGTGAAGAGGCACATGTTCTTTACTGCTTCCATTGCTTCCTTCATTTCCTTCCTCCTCTTTTCCTTACTTTGCTTTCTTTTCCAATTCTCTTCCTTCCTTTCTTGCCTTCGCTTCCGTCTCTTCCCGACATTCCTCCTCTGAACTTCCTCCTTCCCTCCACCCTTCTTTTCTCTGTTTTCTTTCTACTGAACAAAAAGAGTATAAAACATAGGCACTTCCATATGAATTTTAAGATTGTCTTTTTCAGTTCTGTGAAGAATGTGAGTGGAGATTTGTAGGGGTTTTGCAACTTTAGTTCTGCCTATCCAGGAGCACGGGAGGCCTTTCTGTCTCCTAGCATCTCCATTTGTTTTCTTTGGTGTCTGGAAGTCTTCATTGTAAAGGTCTTTCGCCTCCTTGGTTTACTCCTACTTTTTAAAATAGCTGCTGTCAATGAGATGGTTTCACTGATTAATTTTCTAGCATGTTTGATAATGGTATATAGAACAGTTCCTCGTATTATATACTGATTTTTAAATCCTGCTACTTTGATTGAAGTATTGATCACATCTAAGAGTTCTCTTATAGGGTCTTTTCAGGATGGGATCACATTATCTGTAAATGGGGATAATGTGTTGTTTTCCTATTTGCTTCCCTTTTATCGTATCACTTCTCTAGCTAAGGCTTCAAGTTTTATATTGAGTAACAGAGTAAGCACTCTTGTCTCATTCCTGATTTTAGTGGAAATGCTTTCAGGATTTCCAATTAATTAATTAATGAATGTTGACTCTAGGCTTATCATGCATGTAGCTTTTATTTTGAGGAGGTATGTTCCCTCTATTCCTAGTTTTTCAGGATTTTTTTTCCTAGGCAGATTTATTAAATAAACCAATTATGTAATTTTTTCTCATAGTACCAATATTTTGCTATTATAGAAATATATATATATATATGTTATAAACAAGTAAGTGAGCTGGTAGTACTTATAAGTTCAGAAAACCTTGGAAGTGTAAATGGTACTGCAAATAAGCATTATCTTTTCAGAGTCATGCTGGCTAAATTAAGATAGAGAAATATTGAACTTTGTATAAGGGAGAGGTCTAATCTAATGGGGGGTGCAGCAATAAGGGAAATGGGTTATATATATATGAGATCAGGAGAGACAATTTGGGACTGGAAAGAAAGGGGCTAGCCAGAAGGTGGGTGGGAGGATCGAGAGGGCAGCTGGAGTTGACAAGATCAAAGCTAATGGTGTTTATGTTACAGTGATACCTATGTATTCCATCGTGGTGGAAGACTGATGGGTCCAATCTTGTGCAGGTCTTCTGAACCTATGGCTTCTGTGGTCTCATGAGTACAAAGGCCAATGTCATATGTAGGAAGCAGCATTTTACTTTCCCAGTCCTCCCCAGCACTTAACATTCTCTCAGCCCTCCTCTTTCAGGATGTTCCCTGAACCTTGGAGGGGGTGATGTAGATGTCCCATATATGGCTGGGCACTCAACAGTCACTTTTTCTCAGTACTTTGAGCAATTATGAGACTCTGCATTAACCACTGTGCAGTGCAAAAAAAAAAAAAAAAAAAAAAGAAGCTTTGACACAGGCTGAGAACGCCCCTAACTCGGGGGGCGTGAAAAAAAAAAAAAAAAAAAAAAGCAGCTCTGACCAAGGCTGAGAACAGCACTAATCTGGGGGTGTAAACATGAATATTAAGAACAGTTTGAGGATGTGGCTGTTTAGCATAGCAGTAGTAGCTCCCCGCCCACCCCTAGGACCTTTGACCTCCCCAGCCATGGGCTTTTGCTCTTTTGAGACAGAGTCTCATGTAGCCCAGTCTGTTGTCAAACTTGCTATGTAGTGGAAGATGCCTTTGAACTTGTGAAACTCCTGCCTCAACCTCCCAAGTGCAGGGATTACAGGGGTGTGATAGCATGCCTGCCTCCAACACAAGTTTTAAATCAAGTCTTTTAGGAATGCAAATAACCACTGCTTATTTGCTTTTAAAATGTGCTTGAAACAGTGAGTTTAGTTCAACTCATTTGTTTTTAATGCCCACTTAACATTAATGTAACTTTTAAGTAAGTACTATATCCTAAAGATATTTATAAAATTAATAAGTTGAGTCCTTCCAAAGCTTCCTTGGTAAAAATAGTAAGTCTTCATAATTCATCTAAATTGAATATTGCTTGGAGAAATTATTTCATTTAAATAGACTTTAAAGGCATCTATACAACAATTCATATCTTAGTTATTATTTTATTAGGTCTGCAAGGCTTATATAATGGTGTATATTTTTGCATATCTCCTCCGTATGACTTACTTATAATTTTCCCTGGGAGAATTGTCTATTCTCAGCAGTTCACAAATGAATGGATGAAAAGCTTCTTTCATACTCTTTTTAAAACTAAGCCATATTTTATTCTTTTTCTTTTTTTAATCTCTTTATTTTACTTTTGCCAAAGACTGCATGGGTCGACCACATCTCATGAGCTTAAGCCCTTAGAACAACTTGCCCACAAAGAACCAGCTTTTGTCTTTATGGGAACTGAGTGACTTATGACTCTAGGATTTGAAAGGGCGTTGATGTTTCTGATTAGGATGATGGGGAAAATTCTGCTGACTCCATGCCAGACTGTTGAAGCCAGCAAGAGCAAGAGCTAAAGTCCATGCTGGAAACATGCAACTACTAATATGTTGAGGATCCCTTTCCACCCAAGAAACATGACATAAGTATTTCTTGATAGTAGGTTAAATATTGAGTGAATTGCAGAAAACCTCTTTAATAGTCATCAATTCTAAAATCTCTTAGTATGTAAAAATTTAATTGGTAAAAAAGTTTGGAATTCATGGTGAGATTTTGATAATACAGAATGTTTTGAGCCTTTCCATGGGCTCAGTCATGTTTCCTAGAAGTTTCCAGATGTGCATGTGTGGGAAAGTAGCACAAT